CTGCTCCCTCTGCCCGGCTCCTGGAAGCATTCCAGCGGGATATTGTGTCGGCTCGGGGTGTCTCCTTTCAAAGGAGGATGATGGACAGAGTGGGAGGACACTGGGAATGTGCCAAGGGCAATTAAAGTCCAGGCTGGGGAATAGCTGAGCTAATTGGGGTCTTCCAGCTTAACGAAGCGAGACTGAAAGTGGAGGCTGAAAGTAAGTGGAGTTGAGCTTCCAAATCCGTGGGATATTGTTTAAAAAGTCTTTTTCCCTGCTTTTCTGGGGGTGGGAGAGGAAAGCCTGAAGGGATGGTGGAGGATGCTGATGGTCTGCAGCATCTCTCTCCCGCATCCCTCCCCTCCCTTCCCCCTCCCGACCACAGCCTTCCCAGTTTTCCAGCCACCAAACTAAGGCTGCAGCTGACCTAGATAAAGCTGTTAGCTCTCATCCCCCTCATCCCGCCCTGCTCCCGGCGCTGGCAGCTCCGCTCCTCGTCAGGCTCAGCGCTGCCAGTGCCGCACGGGGACAGGGACAGTCCTGGCAGGGAGGGAGGGAAAATCAGCCCATTTCGGGGCAATCATCCCCTCCTCACCCTCTCTGCCCTCACCTCTTGCTGCTGGGGGTGTGGGTGCTGTGCCCTCCCCTGCCCCGTCCTCCTCCCTCGGCAATCCCAGGACGCTGCAGATTAACAGCTTCGCAATAATACTCTTATTTCAGCGTTCTTCTGCCCATTCTCATGCAAACCCAGTCCAGGGCAGAGCTTTCCCTTCCCAGGGACAGCCCCAGTGCTTCCCAATGGGAATCTGTACCCCCTGCACCTCCTCTTCCTTCTCCTTCACTCCCAGTGCCTCCCCGTAGGAATTTGTACCTCCTGCACCTCCTCTTTGCTCCTTTTCCTCCTTCTCCTTCTCTCCTAGAGCCTCCCAATGGGAATCTGTGTCACCTGTACTCCTCCTTCCTCCCCTTCCTTCTCCTTCGCTCCCAGTGCCTCCCCACAGCAATCTGTACACCCTGCACCTCCTCTTTCTTCCTCTTCCTCCTTCTCCTTCTGTCCCATCACCCCCAAACCCTCCAGAATGCAAACAGGCACTGGAATGTCTTCCAGTCCCTCCCAGCTGGACCAGGGCTGATGTGCTCGTGGCACTGGGGGGGGCTGGTTACTCTCTGCTGATCTCTACACTATCCAGCCTGGGGAGCTGCGAGTGCTTTTGGGGTGCTCCAGCCTGTCCTAATGAAACTGGGGAGATTCCTCTGGCTCCAGAGCAAATAGAACCCTGGAGTGGTGGGAGGAGGGAAAGGAAGGGGCACAAACCCAGACCGAGACATTTAGGGGGGGAAATACCATCTTATAAATACATATATCCATATAGATATATATGCATACACATTTATTAAACTGATGTTGCTAATTAACCCTCCAAACCAGACTAACCCCCATACATACCATTAATTTGATCCTGGGACAGAAACTTTGCCTGCAGCAGGAAGAGGAAAGGAAAGAGAGAGGGGGGGAAAAAAAAACCAAACAGCTTTAAAATGTGGCTGTGCAGAGCAACGTGAGCAGTTTGGAGCAGCCAAATCGCTTCACTCACCATGATTTTGGGGGTTCTCCGTGTGTTTGCTGCTGCCTGCAGGGACTGGAAGCAGCTGCTGCCACTTTGCTACGCGATTAAGGGCTAAAGTCCTCCGCCCGGGGTGGAGGTGGCTTGGCTGTAATAAATACCTGCTGCTATGGCTACAGGACCTGATCCCTGCCGGGCTGGATCCTGCTGCCAGCACAGCTCCTGCACCACATCCTCCCCAGTGCCTCGGGACTCTGCGTGGGGCGTTTGGGCTCGGGGGATGGAGATGTGGTTGGGCATAAAAGGTTTGATGGTCTTGGAGAGCTGCACACCTTGTGCTGAGCTTTGGTGCTGAGAGCCCCCAATCCAGCTTTCTTGGGAGCCCTGATCCAGCCCTGCTGGGATTTGGTGAAGCTGCTGGAGAAAGGCTGAGCAGGAGCAGAAGCTGCTAGTGGTACAGACCCCAATGCTCAGGCATCACCCCCTGCCCAGAGCCGTTTTTGGGGGGAATTAGCCCTTCTGAGTGGGAGCAGAAGGAGGGGGTGGCACAGACCCCATGTGAGCAGGGCTGACCCTGGAGTTTACCCCTTGCCTGATGTCTTTTTGGGCTGTGGTTGTGAGGAACTGACCCTTTTGAGCAGAGCAGAAGCTGCTGGTGGCACAGACCCCACATGATACTGGAGCTCACCCCTTGCCTGATGTTTTTTTTGGGCTGTTTGGTGGGAATTAGCCCTTCTCAGTGGAGCAGAAGGTGGTGATGGCACAGACCCCATGTGAGCACAGCTGACACTGAAGCTCACCCTTTGCCTGATGGCTTTTTGGGCTGTTTGTGGGGAATTGACCCTTCTGAGTGGAGCAGAAGCTGCTGGTGACACAGACCCCTCATGCCACTGGAGCTCACCCCTTGCCTGATGCTTTTTGTCCTGTTTTAGTGGGGCATTAGCCCTCCCTGCCCCGTGCCTGCACTCAGCAGCCAGAGCTGAACCCCAGGATATCTCCTGGGGGAGCCACAGCTGCTCTGCCCCTTCCTGGCATGTTTACTCACCCGGGAGCAGTGTGGGAGGAGCATGTTCATCTCTGTGCCAAGGGAGATGCTCTGACTTCCCAGCGAATCGCTCCCAGCCGAGGCCTGGATCCTCTATAGGGTGATGCCAGTGGTGTGAGGGTTCACCTGCAGCATGGACCAGTGTGGGGCTGGGAGGGATTTGATGCATAAGTCCAGGGTGGAATTGGATTTTAGAACTGTGAGAGCAAAGACACCTCACCCTGTCCCTGAATTTGAGGCATCACCTTGAACCCCTTTTTGGGCCATCCCCTCCCTTTAACCGGCTCTAGTTACCACTCACCACTTTGTAGCTCATGTTGGGTCAGGAATTTATTTGAAAGACATTAATCTACATTAGAAAAACTAGATCTTTTCTCTTCAAATCACTCTGAGAATATCAAAACTTAGAAACTCTCCTTGGCTGGGTGGAGGTTGCTCATGTGCAGGGTGTAAAATGCCCAAGGCTCAGGGATGTAGATAACACCAGGGTATTTCTTCCTGAGGATTTTGTCATTCCACAGCCAAACCACCCAGACAGCAATGAGGACCAGAGTGATGATGAAGGAGTAAAAGAGGAAAAGGCCATTGCTGTCCAGGACAAGTCCTTTCCTTTTTTGGTGCATCACCAATGCCATCATGGCAAAGAAGGTGAAGATGTAGAGGATGAAGATCTGCCCTTCTGTCACCAGGTACCTGCAAGCAGAAACACATGTGAGTGAGCCCAGGAGAGCACTGAGGGAAGCAGCACTTCCAGATTTCCCTGGGGTGAACATCTCCCCTTCTCCCTCCTCCAAATCCCAAAGCTGTGCTGGCTTCCTCCTGCCAGATCTTAGGCTGGGATTTGTTTTCATGTTCTTAGTGAAAAGAATGGATCCAGGAATGGTCCCAGTGTGGGATGGGGAAGGTGCTGGCTCAGCTTGGCAACAGGGTGCTTGAAGGAAGAACCAGAGATGGATTCTGGCTCTGACCTGTGTGTGTTGTGCTCACTGAGGCCAAATATCTGAGCTGTGTGGGGCTGTGGCTCGTCCTGGCTCTGAGCAGGTAGAGGAATTCCTTTCCCTGTGCTTCCCTCACACACAAACCAGAGAGATTCTTACATCTTAGGATGTTAAACAATACTTAAAGGCAGAACCAACCTGAATTCTGGCTCTGAACTGTGGATATCTGGTCATTGAGGCCAAAAATCCCCCGAGCTGAGTGAGGCTGTGGCCAGTCCTGGGTGTGAGCAAGGGGAGGAGGAATTGCTCTCCCTGTTCTTCCCTCACACACAAAGCACAGAGCTTCATGCTGCTTCACTTAAAGACAGTGCAATGGCTTAACTGGGAACTGACCAAATCATCTTGATGATTTTGACTATCAGAAGTTAATTTGCTGTACAAAACCAGCCTCAGCAGGAGGCAAAGCCACAGGCAAGAGAGAAGATCAGCTCTGGAGATGGATGAGAAGCTGTTTGCTACCATCAGGGAAGGCATTGGGGGGAAGAGGAGGCTAATGAAAATGGGAAATAAATAAGAGCTCTCTCAAAAGGCCATTTGGAGCTGCAGGGTGAGGGAGGAGGCAGTGGCTGAGTGTCACACTGGCAGCTTAGGCTCTGTGTGAGGCTGCCAAGAGCATCTCCTGTGCCACCACTGAGCTGGGACCAAGGGATGTGCTGCAGCGACCTGGTGACCACCCCAACATCAGCAAGGAGCTAAGCACAACAAGCAGCAGCCTCTGAAGGGGCAGAGAGCAGGTTCCATGGGAAATAGAAGGTGGAAATCCAGCACTAACATGACCAACTGTGGTTGGAGAAACCTCAAGCAGGGACAGAAGTCCCAGGGTGACCCTGAAGTTGTCCCAACTTGCAAAGACTCAAGTGGCTGCAAATTTTAATGTGATTTAATTTGATTTTCCAGCCCCGCAGAGCAGTTTTGCCCTGGGGAATGGAGAATCTCTTCCTGTGCTATTCCCTGGAGCTGCCTGAGGTATTCCCTCTCCGTGCTGTGCCCGTGCAGAGCAGACAGAGCCACTCACCAGTAATAAAGGCTGCTGGGCCCCATGAGAAGCAGAGCAGCCACTGGCATCCTGCTCTCCTCTTCCACAGGGGTGAAGCAGCCAGTGAAATATATAAACAGGATGAGGAAAAATGGGATATACCTGCAAAGATAAACAAATCCCGTCAGTGGGTGATGCTGGGAAGGTGTTTTAACCCTCCTCAAACCCAAGCCAAGCTCATAGGCAGCTCCTGTGCTGAGCCTGATGGAAGAACAGAAGGGGAATCTCTTGCTCTGAGATTCCAAAGGGTTGGTGGTATCCTGGCTGCTCCCAGGACTCCTGCAGATCATGAGGATTCCAAGGTTTGGGCAGGAAAAGGCCAAATTTGCTGATTAGGACAAACCCAAGTTGTCCAATTCTGCTTGTTCCAGGCTCTGAGAGCCTTGGCTTGAGCTGGAGCTGAGCTGCAGCAGAGCAGGATGTGCACCAGGATTTCCATAACCCAAGTAAGCCCTTGGTTTGGAGTGGAAACAATGGGATTTGCTTGCTCCACAGGGCTCAAGACCAGCAGACAGAGCTGCTGGGGAGAGATTTGTCTGCTCTGAGTGATCTCAGGATTATCTGGCAGTGGATAGAGGAACAGAGTGGACTTGGGGGGGCTCTGAGTTGGGGGGTTTGGGGGCCAAACTCCAGAGGAGCATGAGCTGGGGTGGTGACAGACATCTGGGTGTCCCATGGAAGGTTCCTCTGCTCCCTAGAGATACCCAACCACTGCCCCATCCTAGAAATATCCATGAGACAGAGATCAAACCAGGGGAACAGGGTATTTTCCTGCACTGTAATCACCATGGCCAGGAGCACATCATCCCCAGCCAGCTCTCCTCAGCTGGCCTTCAGCTTTCTGACACATTAAGCTGTAATTTGCCCTTCCAGGGGTGACATTCCAGCCTGACTGCAAACCACTTACCACATGGAATGACCTAAATACTCATCGTAGTAGTAGAGCAGCTCAAAGGAATCAATCTGCAACACAACAAAAGAGCTTTAGAAGGGTAGGGGGAACAGGACTTGGTAAAAACAAGCAATTCAGCAGAGTTTTACACCTTACCAGGGTCTCTGGCTTCAGGTTCTTGATGATGGGGTTCTCCCTGACAGACAAGTGGTGTTGGTACCCACTGAAGATCAGGCGGTGGTTGACAGAGTCTCCAACCAGGTGGATACTTGCTCCCATGACAAACATGATGATGCTGACATAGACCATTGACCTGGGTAAGGTCTTGGGGGACCTTTCAATGAGCTGAAACCACAGAGGTGTGAAACAGTGAGGAGGTTCTAATTCCGTGACGAGTTATCAGCAGAGACACACAAGTTCTGTCCTCTCTTGACTTGAGGGTGACCTGGTCCTGCCAGTTGAGTACTCAAAGGAGTTTCTTCACCAGGAACCAGCAAAAATGATTAATGAGGAGGAAAAAAGGCAGTGGTTTTTGCCAGCTCCTATGTGGAACTGATCTCCAAGGCTGGATGTGCCCTCCAGTGGCAGGGAGAGCCTCCAGCACTCAGCTCAGCCACACTTCCCTGCCTGACTTACTCCTTTAAATCCTCCAGTGGATGATTTTCCAAGGGCTCTTGGGGTTTTTTTCACTCTCTTCCTAAGGGACTTGGACTCACCTCTCTCTGTTTGGTTCTAAGGAGCAAACTGCATCTAACCTGGCTCTAGGAAGAGCTGATTGCCAGCAGAACTGCTTGGCAGGGAGAGCCTCCAGCATACACTTCCCTGCTTGACTTCCTCTCTAAGAGCCCTCCCCTGGATGATTTTCCAAGGATTTTTGGGGCTGGTTTTACTCTCTCCCGAATGGAATCAGCCTCACCTCTCTGTGTTTGTTTCCAAGGAGCAAACTGCATCTAACCCTGGCTCTAGGAGAAGTTTACTGCCAGCAGAACTGGTTCAGACAACCTCGTGGGCAGCGGTGTCAGCACCGAGCTCTGCCCAGCCTGGAGCTGTGTGGGGTTGGGTGGAGACAGCCACGTGGGGCTGACTCAGGGCTGGAGCTGCTGCCAGCCTGGGGCTTCAGGAGCTCTGGGAAGGAGCTCCACACTCAGCTTGTAAAGCTCTGAAGACCTCCCAAGCCAAATCCCAGCTGGAGGCTTCGGAGGAGACACCAAGTGTGGGTCACCATCAGCCTGAGGATCAACTGGGGCCACCTCATGTCTCCTCAGTGCCAAATCAGCTTTGCAGCCTTCCATAACCAGGGAAAAGCTCCTTATTTGT